ATAGAGCACCTGAGAACCTGAGCACCACAACTGCTGAGCCTCGTGCTACAGCAAGGATCCCATGTGCTGCAGCTGAGCCCCAACGCAACCAAAGCTTTAAAAAATAATGAAATGAACATATCAATGTGCTTAAAACTTGAACAGCCTGTTTTTGCTGAGGGTCTCAAGGCCAGTAAGCAGAAGGACCACAGCAGAATCCTGCACTGGAACCCCAGATAGAGTCGTCTCAGGAGCCTGGAGAAGTGAGGGGGCTTCAGCTGTCCTGGGTGTCTCATCCAACCCCCACCTGGCCCCAGAACCCCCATGTCATCTATTGTGACAGCAAAATTAAAAGACGCTTGCTCCTTGGAAGGAAAACTGTGACAAACCTAGGCAGCATATTAAGAAGGAGAGACATCACCTTGCCCACAAAGGTCTATCTAGTCAAAGGTATGGTTTTTCTAGTAGTCACGTATGGATGTGAGAATTGGACCATAAAGAAGGCTGAGCACCAGAGAATTGACGCTTTTGAATTACGGTATTTGGAGAAGACTCTTGACAGTCCCCTGGAAAGCAGGGAGATCAAACCAGTTAACCTAAGGAAATCAGTCCTGAATATTCATGGGAAGGACTGAGGCTGAAGCTCCAGCACTTTGGCCACCTGATGGGAAGAGCTGACTCATTTGAAAAGACCCTGATGGTGGGAAAGATTGAAGGCAGGAGAAGGAGACAACAGAGGATGAGGTGGTCGGATGGCATCACCGACTCAATGGACTTGAGTTTGAGCAATCTCCGAGAATTGATGATGGACAGGGAGGCCTGGCATGCTGCAGTCCATGGGGTCACAGAGTCAGATACGACTGAGTGACTGAACTGGGGAATTCTTGCCCTCTGGATCCAGTTAGGTTCTGAGAACAGGAAGCCCCACCTAGAGATCAGAGACAGGGAGAAGAATAAGTTGAAATATCCCTACCCCTTAAATTGAAGAAAGTGGGGAAAACCACTAAGACCATTCAGCTATGACCTAAATCAAATCCCTTATGACTATACAATGGAAGTGAGAAATACATTTAAGGGACTAGATCTGATAGAGTGCCTGATGAACTATGGACGGAGGTTCACGACATTGTGCAGGAGACAGGAATCAAGACCATCCCCAAGAAAAAGAACTGCAAAAAAGCAAAATGGCTGTCTGAGAAGGCCTTACAAATAGCTGTGAAAAAAAGAGAAGTGAAAAGCAAAGAAGAAAGGGAAGGATATACCAATTTGAATGCAGAGTTCCAAAGAATAGCAAGGAGAGATAAGAAAGCCTTCCTCAGAGATCACTGCAAAGAAATAGAGGAAAACAATAGAATGGGAAAGACTAGAGATCTCTTCAAGAAAATTAGAGATACAAAGGGAACATTTCATGCAAAGATGGGCTCAATAAAGGACAGAAATGGTATGGACCTAACAGAAACAAGATATTAAGAAGAGGTGGCAAGAATACATAGAACTGTACAAAAAAGATCTTTATGACCCAGATAATCACGATGGTGTGATCACTCACACTCACCTAGAGCCAGACATCCTGGAATGTGATGTCAAGTGGGCCTTAGGAAGCATCACTATGAACAAAGCTAGTGGAGGTGATGGAATTCCAGTTGAGATATTTCAAATCCTAAAAGATGATGCTGTGAAAGTGCTGCACTCAATATGCCAGCAAATTTGGAAAACTCAGCAGTGGCCACAGGACTGGAAAAGGTCCATTTTCATTCCAATCCCTAAGAAAGGCAATCCCAAAGAATGCTCAAACTACCCCACAATTGCACTCATGTCACACGCTAAGTAATGCTAAAAATTCTCCAAGCCAGGCTTCAGCAATATATGAACCATGAACTTCCAGATGTTCAAGCTGGTTTTAGAAAAGGCAGAGGAACCAGAGATCAAATTGCCAGCATCCGCTGGATCATCGAAAAAGCAAGAGAGTTTCAGAAAAACATACATTTCCGCCTTATTGAGTATGCCAAAGTCTTTGACTATGTGGATCACAATAAACTGGAAAATTCTGAAGAAGATGGGTATACCAGACCACCTGACCTGCCTCTTGAGAAACCTGTATACAGGTCAGGAAGCAACAGTTAGAACTGGGCATGGAACAACAGACTGATTCCAAATAGGAAAAGAGTACTTCAAGGCTGTATATTGTCATCCTGCTTATTTAAGTTATATGCAGAGTACATCATGAGAAATGCTGGGCTGGAAGAAGCACAAGCTGGAATCAAGATTGCTGGGAGAAATATCAATAACCTCAGATATGCAGATGACACCACCCTTATGGCAGAAAGTGAAGAAGAACTAAAGAGCCTCTTGATGAAAGTGAAAGAGGAGAATGAAAAAGTTGGCTTAAAGCTCAACATTCAGAAAACTAAGATCATGGCATCTGGGCCCATCACTTCATGGCAAATAGATGGGGAAACAGTGGCTGACTTTATTTTTGGGGGCTCTAAAATCACTGCAGATGGTGATTGCAGCCATGAAATTAAAAGACGCTTACTCCTTGGAAGGAAAGTTATGACCAACCTAGACAGCATATTAAAAAGCGGAGAAATTACTTTGTCCACAAAGGTCCACCTAGTCAAAGCTTTGGTTTTTCCAGTAGCCATGTATGAATGTGAGAGTTGGGCCATAAAGAAGGCTGAGCACTGAAGAATTGATGCTTTTGAACTGCGGTGTTGGAGAAGACTCTTGAGAGTCCCTTGGACAGCGAGGAGATCAAATCAGTCAACCCTAAAGGAAATCAGTCCTGAATATTCATTGGAAGGACTGATGTTGAAGCTCAAGCTCTATACTTTGGCCACCTGATGCAAAGAGCTGACTGATTGGAAAAGACCCTGATGCTGGGCAAGATTGAAGGCACGAGGAGAAGGGGACAACAGAGGATAAGATGGTTCGATGGCATCACCGACTCAATGGACTTGAGTTTGAGCAATCTCCGAGAGTTGGTGATGGACAGGGAGGCCTGGCATGCAGCAGTCCATGGGGTCACAAAGAGTCGGATATGACTGAGTGACTGAACTGAACTTATATCAGGGGAATTCTTGCCGTCTGGATCCAGTTAGGTTCTGAGAACAGGAAGCCCCACCTAGAGATCAGAGACAGGGGGAATAAGATGGAATATCCCTGCCCCTTGCCTGCCTTCTTGTGAGACCACCTTGGGGTTTCTGTGTTCCTTGATGAAGGTCACGGCTCCTCTGAAGGTGTCACTGAATACAGAGTTCTCTCTTCCAGGATCCAGTAGTCCCTCCCTGCTCTCTTCCCTCCAAACCTAGAGGTAGTAACAGCTGAACTTCACACTAATACAGAAAGTGGGAAACAGATGTGGGCAGAGATAAAACAAGGCTGGCCATGAGTGGATAACTATTAAAGCTGGATGATATGGACACGAAGGTACTTTATACTATTGTCTCTGCTTCTGTGTAATTTTGGAATTATTAAATGTGAAATGTTAAAAGAATAGTTAATTCAAAAGTTACTTGCTGGAACTGGTCTGCGTCCAGAAACAAGTGGCATGGGGGGCGGTTTGGGGCTGATTTTGACCATTGAGCCATGGTCGTTTGAGAGGGTGTCCTTATTCTTAGGAGACACACACTGAAGTCAGGGATGAGGGGCACTGCTGTCTGCAGTTTAGTCTCAGACTTTCAGAGAGACATACCATAGGCAAACACGTGGGTTGTATCTTGGGGGCGTGGGAGAAGGATAGAGGAAACGGGAAAAAATGTCAGCGTTTGGGGAATCTGGGTGGGGACTCTAAGGAAATTGTTTACACTATTTTGCAATCTTTTTGTAAGCCTGAATGCATGTCAGAATGAAAAAGTGAAAAATGTAAGACCTTTCGGCTATGCCTAAATGGTGGTAGCAAGCAGAAGAATGGGCACACAGAGGACAGTCAGGAGTCCTCTTGGGAGACCCGGGACCTGCTCTTGGACCTGAACACAGGGAGAGACACTCTGGAGCCTGGAGACCCGACCTCCCCTGAGGAGGGAGATAGGACAGTCCTCACTGCGGACTTGGACCTGAGCGACTGGAAGGGTGGCCTTTCCTGAGTCCAGAAACAGGGGGTGCCGGAGGAAGAGGCTGGGGAGGGGCGGGGGAGGGCAGGGAGGGCTCATGGTGAGGTCTGTTCTGTTGAGCTGCCAGCTCAGCTCGAGGCTGATCCAGAAACAGTGTTATCAGCTCGGTTTAAAGGGAAAATGTTGGGTTTTTGGAGAGCAGTCCCAGCCAGTTGGACTGTAAACTATTGGCTGCTTGAAGAAAGGATACAGCATAAATATTGAGGCATTTGCTTTAATGAAACACTTTTTGCAAAACACAAACTGGAGGAAACCAGGTCTTTAATCACGAGAGATAGAGGACCATCCGTGCCTCCCTAAGACCCGTGTGGAGCATCTACTGGACAGTCTGGATGCTGCGTAGAAAGAGGGGTGGAGAGTCCACCAGGGCTTATACAAAATACCCACATCCAGAGCAAGCTCTCCAAAACTCCAGTGGGATTCCAGTGCAGTACTTTTTTTTAAAGCTCCCTTTAAAAAAAAAAATGTCTTTTTTGAAGACCCCAGGCTTCCCTGGTGGCTCAGTGGTAAAATGTGCGCCTGCCAATGCAGGAGATGCAGATTCAGTCCCTGGATTGGGAAGATACCCTGGAGGAGAAAGTGGTTACCCACTCCAGTATTCTTGCCTGTGAAATCCCACGTACAGAGGAGCCTGGCGGGCCACAGTCCATGGGATCACAGAGAGTCGGACGCAACTCAGCAACAACAACAATACACGATCAAGCGTGGCAGTGTCTTGGGTGTACTGGGGGCTTACTCAGGACTCCCACGGGGGTGACCTCGCATCAGATGGTGAGTGCATCACCCCAGGGAGAAATCTCCGAAAGATAGCACTCAATAAGGTGCTTTCTGTCTATTTAATTTTCTGTTGTCGTTGCAAAATGTTCAATCCTCCTTTCTGTTTCCCTTTGCCAATTTGCCCTGGCACAGGCGTCCATGCGTCCTGCCAAATCCAGGATGAGTGGGAGGAGAGAGTGGGCTGGAGGGCCCAGGGCCAAGGCCACGGCGTGGTGTAGGTGAGGCCGCCCCAGGCTGTGTGCCCAGGGAAAGCCCCATCCATCATCAAGTAGGACGATGTGCTTAGCACACACACACGCACGCACGCACGCACGCATGGTCTTGTCCCCACCCAGGGATTTTAATAATGACATGGCAATCGTGTCTCTCTGGCCTTTGAACTGTGAGGGTCGAGACAGCCCCTCTTATCCAGCGTGGACCCTGGAGCCAGGTGCTCACTCAACAGGTGACCGTGGGATGGGTGGGTGCCAGTTAAATGTCTGACTAGGATTCATGGCAAATCCTCTTTTCTGAAAGCTGGACTTTGTTCTGGGCTGCTGACCACAATTTGCACTTTTCCCCACTTAAAAAATGAGCAGTGAGACCTGGGCTGATTCACATCTCAGACATCTATTTTAAGAGGTAAGTCCAGTCTTTGGCCAAATGGTGCTCCTTTTAGGGCCCCTCTTTTGCTTTGAGGCAGTCCCCTCCTCCTTCCACACTCCACCTGCCCAGGTCCCCAGGCCACTAGGTTCCTCCCAACCCTTTCCTTTAATAGCTGCTGCTGGGGCCGTGCGGGCAGGGTTCTGATGAATCAGTTTCCCTGGTGAATGAATGACCGATAATGGCTTGATGAAGGCAACTCATCAAGGCAACTCATCAACTTGCAACTCAGATGACATGTATATTTTGAAAACAAGTTTCTGTCTAAACTTGGTGGCTAGTATGAAACAGAAGGAGCTTCCCCCTGATGGCTCAGTGGGTAATGAATTTGCCTGTAAGGCAGGAGACACAGGAGATGTGGGTTCGATCCCTGGGTAAAGCTTTCCCCTGGAGTAGGGAATGGCTACTCACTCCAGTATTCTTGCCTGAGAAATCCCGTGGACAGAGGAGCCTGGAGGGTCACAAAGAGTTGGACACGACTGAGCAACTAAGCACATGAAAGAGAAGTTCACACTGGTTCTAAGAAAATGACACTTTAATTGAACTCAACCCGAACAGCCTGAGCTGTCTCCTGGATGACCGCAGGCTCACTCCCGCATCACAGGCTTGCTGCCCCTCTTCCTAAAATGCTCAGATGTGCACAGGGTTGGATTTTTAAGGTTCCTGTTCAACTATCCCCTTCCTGCCCTGGCCTTCCCCTCCACCCCATCCAGTCCCACCTTCAGTTTCATCCTCTGGGCAGTAAGGCTGCGCACATGCTCCCAGAGCCCCAGCTTGAGTGTGTGTTGGAACTTGGGGAGCTTGGAGTGGCCAAGGGACAAAAGTGAGGGGCCTGGGTCCTCATCTCTGAGGGGCCTGGTGATTGGAAAGGCCTGGGCTATGTGTTCCGTGAGAACTATGGGTGTAGAGCCCCATTTCTTGCTTCTCCAGTATTGCACTTAGTAGGTGTAGGATGACCTGGTTCTCACTTTCGCCAAAGCCCATGGCTACCTGAACACCCTGACAAGAGGGCAATGGACTTCCTTGGCCGTCCAGTGGATGGGAATCTGCCTGCCAGTGCAGGGGCCAAGGGTTCCATCCCTGGTCTGGGAGGAAGACGCCTCTAAGCCACGTGGCTTGGAGCAGCTAAGCCCCCGAGCCACGGCTGCTGAGCCCGGCGCCGCAACTACTGGAGCCTGCGCACCCTCGAGCCTTTTCTCGGCAACCAGGGAAGCCGCTGCAGTGAGAAGCTGGAGTGCCACAGCGAAGAGTAGCCTCTGCTCACTGCAGCTAGAGAAAGCCCGAGTGCAGCAGCAAAAAATAGGTAAGCCAGAGAGAGCACTGAGTTGGGTGGGAATAGGAGAGACTCTCATCTCCCTCCAGACACCTCGGAGGCGACCCAGTCGCCTGTGGTCTTTCATTGTGCACAGATCAGAGCATCAAGGCAGAAGTTTTTTTCTTTTTTTTTTTAAATTAATTTATTTGGCTATGTCAGATCTTACTTGTGGCACGTGAGATCTTTGATCTTCATTGCAGCATGCAGGATCTTTAGTTTCAGCCTGTGGGATCTAGTTCCCTGACCAGAAATCGAACCAGGACCACCCAGGAAGTCCCAAGGCAGATGTTTCTTAAACTTCCCTTCCAGAAGAAATCAGGCTTAAAATACTTGCCCTGCAGATGGCCGGGGAGCCGGGGGATACTGGATTTCTTATCTGATGGCTGTCTGTGAAGAGGCCACAGGGGACTGTCCCCAGAGCATCCAGAGTCTGGGCTTTGAGCCATCCTCATGGGTCATCACCCTGTCACTTTCACCTGGGTCCAAGCCCTGGGGCTGACCCGCCTGGCAGGGCTCTGAATGTCTAGGCAGACAGACAGACAGACAGACAGACAGGCTGAGATGAGAGAGCCTGCTCCTGTGGCTGAAACTCAGTTTGTGACCAGTGTGGGCAATTCCACATAGATTGGGGGAGCGGGTGGGATGTGGGGGAGCGGAGGGCAGGACCCATAGGTCAAGTCTACATCTGGGGTCTGAGGCAGTGAGAAGGAGCCCTGTTTGGATTAACATACACATTCCCGGGATGCAAATCCCCTTTTCTAAAAGCATAAACACCCAGGAAGGCAGACATAAATCTGAAGGACTTTGGCCTCGGTTGAGTTGTGTATGTCAACTTGTATAAATAATACCGCACTGACTTAAAAATAATCCAGAAGGCAAGAACCAAACACTTTCACTATTATAAAACTGGACTAAGTTTGCATTTTTCCCCCTGAAATTACTTTTCAGAGTTCATAAATATTCCTACCTTATGAGGAGGAAGGAAACAGCATTCATAAGATAGAGTACAGCATTTTTTTGGATTATTTATGCGTTTTGTTTTTTTTTTTTTGGTCTGATTCTGAACCCTTTGAAGACATGAAGGACTATATAAAGCAAGTTAGATGGTTTCTTTCCAAGAAACATCAAATAAAAATCCAGTTTCGGAAAGACAGAATTCTTTACCCGTGTTCCCAAATGCCAAGAACCTTCTTTTTCATGTTTTCTGTGACTGAACACTATTTGCCTTAAGCTGGCCATGATTTTTCGTTGAAAATATTCATGGTGGAAGCAAACCTTGCTGGTAAGTGGAGGAGGAAGCTTCTTTGCCCCATGACTGAGAAGGATCAAATGCTGATCCAGAGAACAGCTGTGAGTACTGCCCAGCACAGAGTCAACCTCTCAGGGGTCCAGCTTTGAAAGTGACAAGATATTGACCTGTGCTGATCAGTGGAACAGACTGGAGACCCTATACTTTCTCTTCCTGTCTGCCTCTTCCCTACCCCATCTCCTCTCTGAGGATTGCGTGCATACTCAGTCACTTCAGTTGTTTTCAATTCTTTGCAACCCCATGGACTATAGCCCACCAGGCTCCTCTGTCCATGGATTTTTCAGGCAAGAATACTGTTAGTGGGTTGCCATGGCCTCCTCCAGCAGATCTTCATGACCTAGGGACTGAACCCAGGTCTCCTGCATTGCAGGTGGATTCTTTACCATCTGAGCCACCAGGAAAGTCCCTCTCTGAGGTTAGTTCTCATTAAAGCTAGCAGATGACTCAGAGTTCCAAGGAGGGCCAGTCTCTGTTCCCGCACATCTGTGCCCCGAGTCTTCAGAACTCATAGACCCAGGCCCAGCCTCTGATCACCAGTGGGAGGGGCACCTCCTCCATCATATTGCCCCCTCGGTGGACACAGTCTGAAGGCATACCACCCTCCTCTCTGACATTACTGTGTCTGATGTTGAGGCTGCTCTGCACAATTAGCCCTGGCATGTTTCATGTGTTAAGTGTGTGTTTATGCCATCTGCACATATGTGACCACTGGCAGCAGCATCTCTTGTTGAGTACGAGTATGCTGAGCAAAGCCTATGCTTCAGAAAATAATAACATGGTGCGAAGCAACATTTATCCCAAAAGAATGTGCCTGTGTGCATGCATGTGCATGTGTGTGTATACACATTCCAGTGTGGTGGAGGTAGGGAGGGACACCCTGATATTTATTGATCACCTTCATTCATCTGGGAGCTTCCCTGGTAGCTCAGACAGTAAAGAATCTGCCTGCAATGCAGGAGACCTGGATCTGATCCCTGGGTTGGGAAGATTCCCCTGGAGAAGGGAATGGCAACGCACTGCAGTATTCTTGCCTGGAGAATTTCGTGGACAGAGGAGCCTGGCGGGATACAGTCCATGGGGTTGCAAGAAGTCGGATGTGACGGAGTGACTAAGCACGCACGCATGCAACCCTCAATTTTTCAATCTTCATTCTTCAATCTTTCCCAGCATCAGGGCCTTTTCCAATGAGTTGGCTCTTTGGATCAGGTGATCAAAGTATTGGAGCTTCAGCTTTCCTATCAGTCCTTCCAATGAGTATTCAGGATTGATTTGCTTTAAAATTGACTATTTAATCTCCTTGGAGTTTAAGGGACTCTCAAGAGACTTCTCCAGCAGCACAATTTGAAAGCATCAGTTCTTCTGCACTCAGCCTTCTTTATGGTCCAACTGTCACATCTGCACATGACTACTGGAAAAACCATAGCTTTGACTGTACGGACCTATGTTGGCAAAGTGATGTCTCTGCTTTTTAATATGCTGTCTAGCTTTGTCATAGCTCCATATTTAACACTTGTTGGCACTTAAGTAGCCCCAGCACTGTTGGTGCTTTATCTGAATTATCTCCTTTAGTCTTCATAATAAGTTGAGGAGACCAGTAGAAATTATTGCCCTCATTTTTACAAGTAGAGACACTCAAGCACCAAGAGGGGAAATAAGTCTGTGGGGTCCTGTACCTGGAAAGAGGCAGGATCTGGGCAGGGGGCCTGCAGAGCCTGCTGGGAACCCCAGCAGCACCCAGCCTGGCTCTTCTGAGCTCATGAACAGCAGAGCCAGTGGCTGCACCTCCCTCCTGGTCGGGGCCTTCTGTCCTCATTAAGGGTGATGTCACATCCAATCAGACGGGACATCTCACACCTGGACCGCCTCATCCTCAAATCTGGATTCCAGTACGTCCTCATCCTCCCATCCCTGCCACTCAAATCCCCCCACTGCCCTATTACTTTGGTTTTAGTGCACTGAGCCCCCGCCCACTCATGCCACACCTCTCTTCTCTCACCATCCAGCCTCTTCTCCAACATGAATTCCCCCAATTAACTCAGTCTTTCTCTTGTAGGTTACAACCTTTTGGCAAAATCCCAGTTCTGAGTGAACCCCCCCCCCCCCACCCAATCCACCTTCTTCTGGCCTGCACTGGGGCTGTTGAGTGTTTTTGGAGATCATCAGATGATAGGGTTGTCTTCTTTTGCTCTAAATTCATGATCTCAGTCTGTGAGCGGCCATCGGTGCCACCAGGAGACCCCACTGTTCTCTCTGCAGGTCTGCGCTCCTCTCCCACGAGATGATGACAATGCTCACACCTCCTGTTCCACCCCGGAACTTCCGCTCTAGTTCCAAATGCTCATCTTCCCACCAACAAACTCACCAGTCCCACCCAGACAGGCACCTCTTCTGTTTCTTCCTTCCTAGATGGATGGAGAAAAGTCTCTCCACCTGTGCTCTGGATTCATCCCTCCAACTACTCAGGAACTTTACTCCCAGGACTTCCCTGGTGGTCCAGTGGTTAAAACTTGGCCTGCCAACGCAGGGGTTGCAGGTTTGATCCCTGGTCAGGGAAGTAAGATCCCACATGCCTCGTGGCCAAAAGACCACAACAGAAAACAGAAGAATATTGCAACAAATTCAATAAAGCTTTTAAAAATGGTCCACCAAAAATAAAATTAAAAAAAAAAGGACTGCACTCCCTCTGCAGGGGTGCCCTCTGCAGGGATCTCTCTCTCACTTTCAGGGTCCTTTCTCCAGGCGACTTCAATCTGTGCACAGACGCACCCCTCTCATCTTCCCAGAGCTGCTCCTCCCCTCAGCAGCCACCTCCTGACTCCTCCATTCTTCTCTCCCAACACCATGCACTCCCAGCCCCGCTGCAGCCTGGCTCTGCTCGCAATGCTCTTCTGATGCCTCTCAGTCAAGGCCACCCATGACCCCCTCTTGCCGGTCCAGCCCCACCCACTCTGCAACTTCATCTTAGTCCTTCATCACTGTTGACCACTCCCTCCCTCCCTCCGGAAGCTGTCTGCTCTCTCAGTTCCTAAACTGAACACTTTCCCAATTTTTCTCTGACTTCACTGGCCAATCCTTCATGGGGTCCTCCTTTTTCTGAGCCCTGAGTGGTGGTCCTCCTTACACCCCACTGGGCTGTCTCTCTTCACTTTCCCCACTCACTTCCCAAGAGACACCTTTCAGTGTTGCTAGTGCTAAGTCACGTCCGATTCTTTAGCAACCCCATGGACTATAGTCTGTCAGGCTCCTCTCTCCGTGGAATTTTTCAGGCAGAATACTGGGGTGGGTTGCAATTTCCTTCTCCAGGGGATCTTCCCAACACAGGGATGGAGCCTGTGTCTCCTGCATTGTAGGCGACTTCTTTACCGCTGAGCCACCTGGATTTAAACACCATTCTTGGGACTTCCCTGGTGGTCCAATGGCTAAGCCTGAGCTCCCAGTGCAGTGGGGCCAGGTTTGATCCCTGTTCCAGGAACTGCATCTCACGTTCTGCATCTTAGACCCAACACAACCAAATAAATATTTAAAAATAAATAAACGAATACCATTCCTATGACAACCATCCCAATTCTGAATTCTCAATATGGACTTCTCCTGGGAGCGTCCTTCAGAGTTGCAGCTCCCACTACCCACTGCTATCTCCACTGGGGAATCTCAGACATTGTGAAACTAGCACATCCAGAGCAGAGGCAAATTCCCCCACCCCCATGAGACCTGTCCCATCTCTCCCTAAACTTCCCCATCTCAGACAGTGGCACCCGCTCTCCAGGTCATCTAATCCTCTCTTTCATCTTCTTCTCTTATCTAATCCATTAGTAAGTCTTGTCGACTTGCTTTCTAATATATCTTGAATCCACACTTAACACAGCCTAGAAAGCACAGCTATAGCCTCATCTCAGGGTAGTCTTCAGAGATACTGCTTTTATTTCTGTTTTTTTTTTTACTTTATTTATTTTTAATTGAAGGATACTTGCTTTCCAGTATTGTGTTGGTTTCTGCCAAACATCAACATGAATCAGCCATCAGTATACCTATGTCCCCTCCCTCTTGAATCCTTCTTTCCGTTTTTTACTTTCCTTTCCCACGCTAGCTCTTTCCCACTTAAAGATCTCGGTGAAGAGGTTCCCATCATTAAATCCATTTACAGATAAGCATATTAAGGAAGGTTCAGAGAGGTTTAAAAACTTACTGTAGGTGTCCAGCTGGTAAGCAGGATCTCTGGGCTTCTCCCCACCTGCCTGACTCCCCACCCCACCTGCCTTGTGACTGGTTCATGGCTAGAGTGGTGACGACTGCCAAAGGTCAGCCTTGGAGCACGTTGCCAGCTCCGTGGGGAACTAAGTGTTCTCTGTGGGGGCTGAAGAGCTTAGATAATGCTGGACTTTAGCGTTCAAGTCAGCAGGGCCAAGTGTGACTTTTGTTTGATAAGCTTGGATTTTATGTCTTTAGGAGCAAACAAACAAACCATAAAATAGCCATGTGTTTTAATGGGCATTTTGGAGCGCATCCCAGCTCATGGGGCTCTGCCCAAGGACAAAGGTGAAGGAGGCAGGCACCGTGGGTGGGGGCTGCTCGGTGCTTCCATCCACCGCCCGGCTGTGAGCTGAGCCGCGGGGACAAACGTCTTCACTGCTTAGAGCTTCCCTTTCCTTATCTGAAAAGTGGGACAGAGCCAGCCTCATTTCCCTTCTGTCAATCAGGAACTACCGTAATGACCCAAAGCATCTCCACTTAGAAGGCTCTATAATGATGAAAACAGTGATAATGATGACCAACTTACCCTGACACCATGTGCCAGGCGAGATGCTAAGAGCTTTATTATCTTTTAAAATTATCCCAGTTTATATGTGAGGAAAATGAAGCCCAGGCAAGTTCAAAACTATGGCCAAGGTCACAAACGCTGTGAGTGACAGTGCTAGAGACCCAGCAAGGCTCCCCAGGCCTTGCTCCTAGCCCTAAGCTTTGCTGTGGGGGGGTGATGATGATGATGTAAGAGATGATGGCAGTGATGAAGATGGTGATGGTGCTGATAACAGTGATGTTGATCATGATAATGTTGATACTGATGATGGTGGCGGTGGTGGGGGTGCAGATCCTTCTGCTGCCTGATGGCCCCAGGCTCTTTGTTAATTACTTCCCCTATTCGTAGCCTCTTCCCCAGATCCAAGTCTGCCTTGGCCACCTTGCCCTAGGGCCTAAGTGGGTTTCACTGACAGAGGAGGTATAACTGAAGGACTGCTCAAGGAACTGTTAAAACAGTCCCACCCCCATTCAGTTCAAGTTCCCCTCCAGGGAGCTCTGAAGCTCTAGCAGGTTTGCCAAGGGAGGATCCCTCCCAGAACTCCACTGAGGCAAACTGCCCGGCACAGCTCCTGCTGGCCTGAGGCATCTTCCCATTGTACTCCTCTGGCCAGTTCAGTCAGCTCCCTTAATACACAGACCCATGCATATGCAACCAACCCCTCAACTCCAGAGTCTTTTGAGTAGAGGGGGCTGGGCAGGAAAACTCGATCTTGACCTCATCCTGGCTCATCCTGCAGCCAGGGTAGCTATCCAGCTTGGACCCCCTCCCATCCCCTGCCCCCCACAGCCAGACGTCCCCTGCAGGTCTCTCAGTGCAAACAGACCCCCAGACGACACACACTGAGTCCTCCTCAGTCAGTGCAGAGTCTGTGGTCACGTCCGCCTCTTGACCATCAAATCACGTACTAAGGAAAATAGGCATCTGCAGGAAAGGGTGGGGGGCTCCTTTAAAAATGTTATTTTCTCCTCCTGTCTCATGGAAAGCATCGAACACTGAAAGTAAGGCATCTACACACTGACTTTCCTGGTGGCTCAGACGGTAAAGAAACTGCTTCCATGTAGGAGACCCAGGTTTGATCCCTGGGTCAGGAAGATTCCCTGAAGAAGGACATGGCAACTCACTCCAGTATTCTTCCCTGGAGAACTCCATGGACAGAGAAGCCTGGTAGGCTACAGCCTATGGCGTTGCAAAGAGTCAGACACGACTGAGCAACTAACACTTAACTTCGCACACACTCTGTGTCATCTTCCAACTGAGTCCACCGGCCTGTGCCTTCCTGCCTTGGGTCCCCCAGGGCGGGCACTGCGCTGACACCACTGTGGTCTGCATCGTTACTCTTCTGCTCGGAAGAGCACAGTGACAATGCTCCGCAGCCCGTGATCTCAGCCTCTGCAGAGCCTCTCACAGCGATGGCAACCTCCTTGTGTGTGTGTGCTAGTCGCTCAGTCATGTCCGACTCTTTGCAAACCCCTGGACTGCAGCCCACCAGGCTCCTCTGCCCATGAAATTCTCCAGGCAAGAATACTGGAGTGGGTTGCCATGCCCTCCTCCAGGGGATCTTCCTGACCCCTGTCAGGAAGCTGGAACCCCGGTCTCCTGCTTTGCAGGCAGAGTCTTTACCGTCTGAGCCACCACTACCGCTTTGCAAAGGAGACAGGCAGGTGTTACTGTTACCACATTGTACATCTGATGCAGGAGGAAACCCAGGCTGGACTGGGTCCCCGCTGGGCTGTCTCTGGCCCTGCCAGCCGCCTGGACCCTCTGCCCGGGCCCCCCGAGCTGTGCGTTGCATGGTGGGCTCTGTGCCCAGCCCAGGAGCCACCTCCTCGGCATGGAGGGCAGGGCCGGGCTGATTTGCCTGGCCTGCAGCAAAGGCTCGATGCAAGTGTGCTTAATGGAAGCACTAGATCCTCCAAAGGCAGAGGTGTCCAGCTGGGAGCCCTCTGGCTCTGTGTGCAGGCCCCGGAGGGTTTCCTTCTAGAACCGGCTCC